TAATGGCAACTGCCTTGGTAATGGCGGATGCCTCAGTAATGGCGGATGCCCTTCCCCCTGCAGAGCTCAACCATCCTGGTCAACCTCAAACTGCTCACTGGCTGTGAAACTCCCAAGGCAGTGAATTTCAGATTGCTGGTCTTTGTGTGGGTAGGACCCTCTGAGTGAGATAATCTGGCTCCCTGCCTTCAGCCTCCTCTTTTTCAGGGGAATGCGTGGCTCTGTCTTGCAAGCATTCCAGTGCCACTTGAAATGGCTGGCCAGATTTGTGCCTGTTTTTGTGTTGGAAACCTGTGACACTTGTTGGTGGATGGGAATCTCGTAATATATGAGCTGTAAAGACCTCGGAAGAAGCGTAGTATCTGAACCAGAGTGCCAAAGTGGCCCGAAAAGGCCCTGATGGCCTCTGCTGTATGAGAGGGGGTGTCTTCCAGTCCACTGCACTTCCCGAGTGAGGCAGTGCCCCACCCTGCCTTGGCTCACTCTCCTTGGGCTACACCCACTGTCCAACCAGTCCCATTGAGATGTGCCTGGTACCTTGGTTGCAAATGCGGTAATCACTTGCCCTCTGTGTCACTCTCGCTGGGAACTGCACTCTGGAGCTGTTCCTATTTGGACATCTTGGCAGAACCCCCTGTGAAATTTTTCATATGTTTAATCTGACAAACATGAACATTCAACACTTGAACATAAAAGGTCTTTATTTATAGGGAGTACGTTGTCATGAGTTTTTTCATGCCATACATATCCATTCCTAGAACAAAATTATAAGGACAATATACAAAATCAAATCTGCCCACGTATCACATGGATGAAAACTAAGAAATCATAGAATTCTGAGTAAGTATAGACCTTGAAGTCCATTAAGTTTTCCAACGTTTTATTAAAAAGTATCACCTCTACAATATCCATAATTTGTGTGTAGCTTTTTCTGATTACAAGTGTCTAAAAATGTTGATAAATTCCTCAGAAGAAAGCCCAGTTGAAAATATATAGGAGTTTATTCATTCAATCTTAATTTGAAAAACTATATTTTCTAAAACCTTGTAATGTTTTGAAGTGCATTTGAACACAGTAGCATTTTCTCAGTTTTTAAAATTATTCCTTAAGTAATGGAAATAAGCAAATCTGTATTAAATCATTTTGTAATGTGTAGTATCTTCTGTTTCTATAATTATTGTGGAATAACTTCCAGATATGTCATAATTAACTGTATTTAGATTTGTAAGACATTTAACTGCTACTGAGTTTTCTGCTTCTGATTATAAAAATAAATATTAAACATCCTTTAATTTTGAAATATTTACAGATATTTCTCCTATATACTGTCAGGGTAATTGGGTCCCTGAGGCCCTCCTAAATTTGAATGGAGAGAGTGTAGAAATTACTTTTTCCCTTTAAAAGGCACAATTAAATTATCAATTATTTTTTTTCCTCTAGTCTTCAAAGTGACAAAAAGGGAGAGACAAAGAAAATCTATTGTCAGTAGAAAAAATGGAATATTTTAAAAAGCTAAAAACATCATTGGGTAGTTAGGCTCAAAGAAATAATCTGTTCTCCCAGTTCATGCAAAGCATTTTGAAATTCGCTGTTTTAAGCATTAATTTGTATTACTACATTTTAAAAAGAGGTCATAACAGCTGAGACACAACAATCAGTAGATGAGACATATGAAGAAATACTACACTGATGGAAGAGACAATGAGAGAGAGAACATGCATTTTAAGCAGGCTTGTGATAAGAAGAGTTTTGAGAAAGTTTGAGTACTCTGGAAAATGTGTCATCTTTATAGTAGAGGTTAGCAAGAACTCAGATGTCAATTCAAATAATGGAAGTATAGGTTGATGGGTGCAGTCTGTTCTACAGCTGGAAAAGATGTAGTGGGGGCTCCGGGTGTACAAAACTGAGGGGGCAGTAATTTATTTCATATGGCTGTGGAAACGAACATTCTAAACTAGGATTGGAGGATGCCTTTTGCACGCAGTAAGATGATAAGAGCTAACCAACTGGGTTGAAGATTGGTATCAGTTTAAACTGAAACATTAAAAATAATCATCTTATGAGTTATATTGTATCAAGATTCACATCCTTAATTTTAATTATCATAATATTTTAAATAGTTGGATAGTTTGCATAAACTTTGAACTTCACTATGTAGTAAAATATTTGGTAGTATTCTATTTTTTAAGTAGATCTATAAGAGATATATGATAGAAACAGTTGGCACAGATGAGAATTATAAAGATAGCTGTCAGTTTCTACCTCAAATTTTTAAAAGATTATCTTTTTATATCATAGGTAATGGGCATCATAAATTGCTAGCTGCAAAGCCAGTTAAGTGTGAATATTCTGTTAGTGCCTTGGCATAAATCTAGAAGAGTGATTTCTTTAGACTTTATTTTATATAATTCATTCAATTTGGCATGTGTTCATAGAAATGGATGTTTGTAACTGAATGAAGTTTAAAAAAAACACAAAGGGCCTGATTTCAACTTTTTTACATTTAATGGTCCACATTAAAGAAAATGATTCTTCAACAAAATTAAATTTCAAAACTACTTACATGAGTCATTCTACCACTTAATACTGTGATTGGAAGCAGAAGAAGAACGTCTTTGGGTAAATAAAACTTGTACAAGTTGAAAAACGGTATTCTACTTTTCTTACTACTACAGTAGTGTTGTTCAAATTGCAGCTATATGCTAATTATTTCCATCTATGTTGTGGCTTTTTTTTTCCAATATTAAAAATAAAAAACATTTATTTCTCCATGGAGTATATGCCCTATTTGAACAGTGTAATCCTATTTATAGTTCAATGACAATTTTTAAAAGAGCATACAGATCATATTGTTGCACAGCCTTCTGGAGTCAGTTCACCTTAGTTTGAATTCCAGTCTTGCCTATTCCAACTTTGCATATGGTTCAGATAATCTCATTTTCTTTTTAAATTCAATTTATGGATGAATTTTTAAAGATGATTTAATAGCCACAATTAAGATCAATATGTGGTGGTGTACAGAAGTTCATATCAATTGGAAATAGGCTTTTTGAAACTTCTAAGAAGTGATAGGTTTTTTTTTTTTTTTTTTTTTTTTGAGGCGGAGTTTCGCTCGTTACTCAGGCTGGAGTGCAATGGGGCGATGTCGGCTCACCGCAACCTCTGCTTCCTGGGTTCAGGCAATTCTCCTACCTCAGCCTCCTAAGTAGCTGGGATCACAGGCACGCGCCACCATGCCCAGCTAATTTTTTGTATTTTTAGTAGAGACGGGGTTTCACCTCGTTGACCAGGATGGTCTCGATCTCTTGACCTCGTGACCCACCCGCCTCGGCCTCCCAAAGTGCTGGGATTACAGGCTTGAGCCACCGTGCCCGGCCAAGAAGTGATAGTTTTAATAAATTCTGGATTGACTAAGTAGTCAGTATTCTATAGAACATGGAAGATTTTAGAATTCTGAATATATTTTCACTCATTTGTGTAATCAGTGTCTCCACAAATAATCAGTATGTCTAAATATTTATTATGAAATACTTAATATTTCCTGATAAAGAGCTAAGAACACTTTAATATATCTGGCCATATGTCTATAAGGTTATATTATATTCTACAGGTATCTTATTTATTTGAAATTTGAAAATTGTTTTTAAAAAATTTACTGAATATCTTTCTCTAGAACTGAAAAGGCAAAAATTATTTTATTAAAAAGGCTAAATCCTTTCACCATAAACTCCATTTTTACTTTTCCCTTGATAAATATTACAGCAATATTTTATTTTGCTTTCACAGGAGAACCAAATGGCTTACCCTAATTCTGTGTCTTATATTTGTCAATGAAGCAATATATTGTGATCAACAGAATTAAGGCTTCTGTTTAAATTCAACAGAATCAAATTGAAAATGTCTCTCACTGAAGCTACTTTCCCTCTGTGAGACTCAGTTTTCACATCAGAAACACTGCCCATGTAACAGCCCTTTTATTCTTGGTTATATTTTCTTTCACGACTTCACAGTTATACAGGACTTAGAAAGACCAATGTCAGACAGACTAAAGTGGGACACTGAACTGTAATCAGAGAAGAAGATCTCCTTTTGAGAAAGGTGTCAGATATCCTGTGAAGTGAACTGTCTATCGCACACATCACTGGTGTCTCTAAATAGCTCCACCAGTCACAACTAAAAGGCAGCCTTTTTCAGCAGTGTAGAGATGAGAAGAGGGAATGGCAGGTAATATGAAATAATAGAACTTATAGCACACACTCAGATTGTATTTGTTTCCAGTCACTATATACAGGTTCACACATGCAAACTTCAAGCACATAGGTACAGTTTAAACTTCACTCTTTATCCTCATTAAGCTTCAACAAAGTTGTTTTCTAAACAGTCTTAAACACTCATCTAATAGCAGTATAATCTAAATCCAACATAGGAATCATAACTTTCAAAAATATCCATTTCATTGAGTAATTTTTTCTAAAGTACATAATAAAAGTCATCTTGTAGGCTTCTTATATATCTTAAGATATCTTTTAGAGTCATAGTCCATTAACTGGTCTTGGGGTTTGGGAAGTTAAATTCTTCAAGCCCACATCTAAGAGATTTAACATTCAGGGGAATCCATTTGATATATTTTCAAACTTCACAGGACTCCTCTTTTTATTTCCAAACTATAACCTTTTGAAATCAAACACAAAACTTTTTAGGCCTTCATGTATTCTGTTCACTTAATGTTATAATTTTTGTAACTTCTATCTTTGTGGTATAAACAAATATATTTAAGTGTGAAAAATTTTAACATCATATTGTGTAGTATATTTATTTACATTGAATTTTGAGGTAGAAAACATATTCTTAAAAAGTTTAAAACCAATCTTTTTCATGATTAAGTTAATAGAAATTATTAAGCACTCATTAATTGGTCAAGAGAAATATTTAGATTGTTAATACTTATTTTTTATCAAGGAGTAAATTATAGTGAGTTCCACAAATGCAGTCAATATACCTTTTTTTTTTTTTTTTTTTTCTGACACAAGACATAAAAACTTTTAATGGAGGATGATAACGGAGGAGGACACAGCCCAGAGCCCTCCACATGCCCTCCCCAGTGCAGCCCAAGCCCGGTCCATGGAGACCAGCCAATCAGAAGGTGTTCTTGATGCGGCCGGCCACCAGCCTAAGGACCTCCCCAATCTTCTTCTGCCAGTTGGCGATGTCCTTGGACACGGCGCACCACAGCTCCCCGTGCCGGGGCTCCGCGCTCTCACAGCGCTTCCTCACCGCCTCCTGCTGCTCCTCAGTGCCATGCTGCAGCTCAAACTTGTAGAAGAAGGCCCAGGCGTCCCCCAGGTCCGAGTCGATCTTCACAGTGCGGTGGAACCACTCCCTGGCCTTGGTGATCTTCCGCTCACTCCAAAACAGCTTGGCCACGGCCAGGAGCACATGAGGGTCATGCTCACACTTCTTCAGGGCATCCACACTCTTGGTCTTCCTCTGGGGCCTCGCCTCCAGGAAGATGGCCTCAGACCACAGGATACCGGAGTTAGGGCACTCCTGCAGCGCCTTGGCCATGAGCGTGTTTGCGATGTTCTTCAGCCCCGCACGGTACTCCAGCCGCACAGACTCCAACCACAGTCCAGGGTTCTTCGGGTTCTTCAGACGAGACTTTTCCAGAATGGCCCGTGCTCGAGTCAGCTGCCCAATCTTATCCTCCAGCCGAGAGAGCAGCAGCCACAGGGCTGTGGAGTGGGGACACTTCTTCAACCCCTGATTGTAAGCCTCCCGTGCCGCCTCCATCTGCTCCTTCTGCTCCTCGATCTGCCCCTTCATCATCCACAGCTTGGGGAAGTCCTCGTAGTGCCGCAGAGCCTCCTCGCACAGGTCCTGTGCTGCCTTGATGTTGTCCTGCACCCACTCCAGCTTCACAGACTTCATGAACACCCGGGCGGTGGGGGCGCTGCTCCGCGCCTTGGCCAGCAGCCTCCGGGCCCGCTCGTACTCATCGTTCTCAGACTCCAGCTTCACGGCCGCCAGCCAGATCTCCTCGCTGTTGGGGTTGGTCTGGAAGGCCAGAACCAGGATGCTCCTTGCTGCAGGCACATCCCCTGCCAGCCACTTGGACTTGGCACCCATGAGCCATAACACCTCCGCTTTGGGGCAGTGGGCCACAGCCCTCTGCAGGAGTGCTTCCAGGGACTCCCGAGTGCCATGGTTCTTCTCGAAGTATGCGGCACGCAGCCACACACTCTTCTTGCTGGGGAACACTTGCAGGGCGTAGGCATAGATGGCACGTGCACACTCCAGGGCATTGTGGGCCACACAGCTGTCAGCGTCCTCCATCCAGGTGTGCTTCCGATCCTCCTCCTCAATCCCAATCCCAATCACGGCACGCATGACGGCCTGGCAGGTGGCCACACTATATTTCAAGTACAAGGCTAAATTTTGATTTAAATTAAAATAATTTTCCTTATGAAAGGTAACTGACTATATAGAAACTATTTGAATAGTTTGATTTTTCTATCCATTAAGAAATTACCAATATGGAAAATACATTTTCTTAAAGGAGGGTAGAGGCATAGATAGATTGATTCTGCTCACCCTCCAACTTATTCCCTCAAGTGTAGATTGGTCTTGTTAAATTGCCCATGCACTTGTTGGAGAAAGTCAAAATGGTGGGTTAGAGGCTGTTAGCATGCCTCAGCCACTTGGAAATAGCAAAACAGTTCATAAAGATCAACACTGTGAGCTTTAATTTAAGAAGGAAAATGGGAATTCATCAGAATAGCAAAGGGCATTTCAGATCTAAGGGAGAAGATGGGGGGCAAGCCACCTCTGATGGCATTTGGCTGGTAAAACGATATTGATGCAGTGGAACATTCTCTGTTTCACAGCAAGACATATCTCTGGGCTTTTGCCGAACCATATCTCCTAGCATGAGAGCTTGAGTTTCCAGTCTCTTCCCAAGCAGAGAACTTGGTGCAGCCGCACTCCCTCCATTTCACACTCAGACATACCACCAGGCGTTTGACACATACACTTCCATAGATTGGTGGAAATTTGAGCCACTCCTCCCTTCCCATGCAAAGACCTTATTACAGCAGCCATTTCTCTTCTTTTGGCCGGGTATTTTTGCAGACATTTAATACACATTCTCTCCTGGCTTAGGAATTTGAGCTGTCCCTTCCATCAGTTGCAGAGATTCTAATACACTGGTGCTCTCTCCTCTTGATCCCCAGACATATCTCTGAAATTATGAGTACTCACTCTTCTAGATTATGATTTAGGCCACCTCAGTCTTCCCATGCAGAGAATTTGAGGCAGCAGAAGTTTCTAGAATTCATGCCTAGCCACATCTCCTGGCTCTTGTGGACTGCCCAGTGGAACCCCTTTCAAAGCTGATGCATGTGCAGGCTATTGGGAAACCTGTGTGTGGGCCTGCTCAGTCTGCTCTCACACATCTTGGATCTCCTCTAAGGAGGGAGATCATACCTCTTTGCATTCCATAGACCAGCCCATTGTCTGAGACAACAGAGAGCTTCTCCCATTAAACAAGGATTAGGCATATACTCATCTGCATTGATCACAGGTGGCTCAGACCCATAATTGACACCTACTGGCCTAGAGTTTAAATTGCAAAATGCAATAGAAAATTGAGCTGAAGACGAAAAAAGTGAAATGTAATTAAAATGAGAAAATAATTCAGATAAACTTCCATGGGATTGTCTTTTTTTTTGTGCAAATAGTAGCTATTATTATTATTATTATTATTATTATTTTAGTGTAAGTTCTGGGATACAAGTGCAGAACTTTTAGGTTTGTTACATAGGTATAGGTATGCCATGGTTATTTGCTGCATCTATCAACCTGTTATATAGGTTTTAAGCCCTGCAAGCATTAGCTATTTGTCCTAATCCTCTCCCTCCCCTTGGCCCCCACCCACTAATTGGCCCCAGTGTATTTTGTTCCCCTTTGTGTGTTCATGTGTTCTCATTGTTCAGTTTCCACTTATGAGTGACAACATGCATTGTTTGGGGTTTTGTTCCTGTGTTATTTTGCTGAGGATGATGGCTTCTGGCTTCATCCATGTCCCTGCAAAAGACATCATCTCATTCCTTTTTATGGTTGCATAGTATTCCATGGTATATATGTACATTTTTTAATCTAGTGTACTATCAATGGGTATTTGGGTTAGTTCCATGTCTTTGCTACTGTAAATAGTGTAAATCAAAACCACAATGAGATACCATCTCATGGCAGTCAGAGTGATGATTGTTAAAAGGTCAAGAAACAATAGATGCTGGAGAGGCTGAGGACAAATAGGAAGGCTTTTACATTTCTGGTGGGAATGTAATTTAGTTCAACCATTGGGAAAGACAGTGTGGTGATTCCTCAAGGACCTAGAAACAGAAATAGCTTTTGACCCAGTAATCCCATTACTGGGTATATACCCAAAGGAATATAAATCAACTACTATAAAGACACATGCACACACATGATTACTGCATCTCTGGGATTGCCTTGGGAGAAATTTGGACATGTAGATACAAAAGGCTCAGATAATCTCTAGTAGATAAATTGTAAAATTTTACCAAGGGATATAGTTATTAGAATTTTCAAAGTCCACGTGGAAAAAAAAAGTCATAAAATCAGTAAAAGAGAAGCATCTAATCACCTATAAAGGAAATCACATCAAACTAACAAGATTTATCAGCAGAAAACCCACAAGCCAGAAGAGACTGGAAGACTATTTTTAGTCTCTTCAAAAAAAAAAAAAAAAAAAAAAAGCTAGCCAATAATTTTATATCCTATCAAATGAAGCTTCACAAATGAAGATGAAATAGTCTTACCAAGATAAACAAACTTAAGGAAATTCATTACTATCAGATCACCTTACAAGAAAATTTCAATACAACTTGCTTCACAACAAAGTTCCGATGCAACCGGATTTAACTATCCTAAATATATACACATCCAACATCAAAATATTCAGATTCATAAAACAAATACTACTAGTCCTTTAAAAAGAGATAAAGAGTTATACAATAATAGTGGAGGACTTTAACACCATATTGATATCACAAGAATGATCATTGATGCAGAAAATCAGCCAAAAAACTTGACTTAAAATGCACTATAGACCAAGCAGACATAGTAGGTATTTATATTACATTTCATCCAAAACCACAGACAATACATTCTCTTCTCTTTGGATAGACCATTCTCCAAAACCAACCATATGCTTGGTAATACAGCAATAATTTTTTGAAATAAATCATATCAATTACCTTCTTAAGTCACAGTTAAATAAAATTAGAAATTAATATCAAGAGAAATGGATAAGTGACAAAATTAAGGCAGATATCAAAAAGTTTCTTAAACAACTGAAAATAGACTCAATATGTCAAAAATCTCTGGGATACCACAAAAAATGTGCTAAAGGCAGTTTATAGTGTTAAATGTCTATGTCAAAAAGAATGATCACAAAGCAACAACAAAATGTTGGACCTCAAGCAACTAGAAAAAAGACAAACCAGACCCAAAGCTAGAGGAAGAAAAAACAAAAAACAAAAAACAAAGATTATAGCAGAACTAAATGAAATCAAGACCAAATAAACAACACAAAAGACCAACTAAACAGCTAATTCTTTGAAAGGATAAACAAAATTGACAGACTGAAAGTTACATTAACCAAGAAAAGAAAGAGATTCAAAGAATATAGAATATTTATATATATATGTTAGTGTATATATAGTGTGGGTATACACACAGACACACACACTATATACACATATATATTAAATTAGATTTGGGGGTACAGATACATATATTTTACATGATTATATTACATATTGGTGGGGATTGGGCTTTTACTCTACACATTAGCCAAATTGTACATATATATAGATATAGATAGACACAAACACACGCACACACATACATACACATATTTTAAAACACAGCTAATGTATATATTTCATATATATTACATGAATATATATTTTAAAAGCATCTTTCCATCAGTCAGAAAAACAGAAATTGATTTTATAAATTTGTATGCCAGAGTAACACATCACATTGAGTGACAGAAGATTCCAACATTGTGGGTTCATGAGCCATTGCGAAAAATAAATTACACCAATAATGAATGCCAGTATTTTGACCATTTCTTATAAATTTTTTATAAATTACTATTACTAATTGTTGGGAAAAACAGCAAAAGAGAAAGGACTTACAGAGTGCCTACATAAATTGGTTATGAGTAACATATAAACAAGGGACAAGAAACACCGGAAGGCCACAGGAGGCCTCTGAGGAGGAAGGCCTCTTCATGCCCCATGTTCCAATGCAGCGTGACCCAGGCTCTGTTACCATAAACACTGTGCTTAAGGATGTAAAACTCCTTTGTAGCACTATGATGTAGCCAGACTTGCAGGCTCCTTGTAAGGTCCATGCCCCACCAGCTGTACATAGATAAGTTAAAGATAACCACACGTTCTTCTTTAGTGAATCTCCCAAACCACCACTGTTATCAATCTTTAGGATGACACACCAGTTCCAGCTCACTGATTCACTCCACCATCACTCCACCCCTACCCTGTAGATCAAAGTGACTGTAATCAATAAATAATGTGAATGATCAGAGCCTGGGGCCTTCACTGTCTCCTCCAAAGTAATGAGTGATGGCCCCCTGGTCCCACTGCCTCTCTTAATCTGTCTTTTTCTCATTCCTTTGTCGCTGCCAAATTTGGGGTACCCATGGGTGATGTAGGGCTGGCTCCCTACATTCTGGTATCCAATGTGGGGCTCATGGATCCCTACATTCTGGCATCAAATGTATGGAGATCATGGATTCCCTACACTAATTTGTTAAAATATTTACATTATAGACATAGACACTAAAAAGCTTAAAGTCATTAAAGAAAATGTCCATTTTCTTAGTAAATGAATTAATATTTAAATTATACAGTAATGAGCAATATTTAGCAATGGACTTAAGTTTGATTCAAAATTACAATTTAACAGCTTAGGTCAGGCATGATTTCTCATAATAGTATTCCCAGCAATTACAGAGGACAAGGTGGAAGGATCACTTGAACCCGGAAGTCTGAAACCATGTTATGCAACACAGTGAGATCTCATCTTCTCTATAATTATTTATATATATAAACATATATACGTATATATATTAAAACCTATATATGCATATATAAAAATATATATGTATATGTAAACATATACATATATATAAATTTGAAGCTCAGTTCTCTTACATACATATATAAACATATATATAAATTTTTATATTTAAATATATATAAACATTTTAAGTTCATTTCACAAAGGCATGTAATAAATAAAACACTGCAACCTCATTATTCATAAAGAAATAGTCTACATTTTATATTTCACTCAGTAAATAACTCATTTAGGAGTT